TTGAATAATCTGGATTGAGTTTATTTATGACACACTTGCTGAAAGTAGAATAAAAAATCTTTGGTTAAAACTGAGAGAGAACATCTGATTTTATTTTATTTCAGAAAATGCATTTTCAGTTTTGAAAGATGTAGATGGACAGCTGTTCCATGGTGCTAACAAGAATTAACTGTCAGTAATTAAAATAATCTTAGGTAAAAAGGACAAAATTCATCTTAGTCTCATTTTATTCAGCACATATAAAGTCAATCACATGCATCTAATCTCTCACAAAACCTTTGCCTCAATTTGTCACGATCTGAGGTGAGTGGCCTTCTCCTAACTGCTGTGAGAGTGCTTAATTGTGGGTGGGCGGTGCTGTGGAGCGGGCAGCTGTGGCTAATCTTCCCGTCAACCAGCCAGGGTAAACGAGGAGTGAGACACCAGCACCTCTTCAGGGCAGTTTTTGTGAGGCCCTGTCCACACGTAGCCGGGGATCTGCCAAAACGTAGATATTTTTCTACGTTTTGGCCTGTCATCCACACGAAAACGGAGTTTTTTCACACGAAAACAGATCTTTTTAAAAACTCCGGCCAAAGTGAAGATCTGTGTTCTCTCCGCTTTGGGTGTCTGCGTGTGGACAGACAAAACCGGAGTTTTAAGGTCCGCAACGTCACTTTCCACGACAAAAAAATGCTGACATCACGTGTGCGACCTGTGTTTACACTAGCCGACAGCATGGATGCACTCAGAGCTGCGCTCACTTTATCAATTGTCCAAGCGCTTTTTGCTTGTTTGTTTTTGCAAGCGGAATTACTGCTCCTTGTGGAAGACTACAGACGACGCTGACAGGATACAATTTGGGGGAAGTACTGCCGCCTACAGGTCTGGCATGTCCTTACCAACGTATTTATCTGGGTGCGTGTGGACAGAGTTTTTTTTTTAACGAGGTGGTGTGGATGCAAGTTTTTGGAGGGGCGGATATTCATTTAAAAAAAACTGCTACGTGTGGACTAGGCCTGAGTCTTGTTTTGGACAGGTGTGTTTGGTTGTGGCTGTCAGTTCAGTTTAGGCTCGGGGGAAGTTCGGGTCGTCGGCCGATGGCCTGTACGTGCCCGGTAAGACGGCGGTCCAGCTTTGCTTCGACCTCAGTTGTGGTGGAGGATGGGGCGGAGGGGAGCAAGTAAGGCTTTTCAGTCGGTTATGACGGGGGAGGCAAAGCGGGACCGTGGGGGCATCACATGGGCAATCCTGGTCCTTGAGGGCCACTATCCAGCAGGCTTTAATTGTTTTATCTCCTTAAACACACTTGGTTTGAATCTACCAGGCTGCTGCAGAGCCTGATGAGCTGCTGAACAGGTGATTCATCAAGGAATCAGGTGTGTTGGAGCAGGTAAACAATTAAAACCATTTGTTTGTCTCTCATTTTACCTTCAGGATCCCTGCTTCACACTTTGCCTCCCCAGCAATAACCACAGACCTCACCCCTTGACCTTGCTCTCTCCTCCTGACTGACCCACTCTCCACCACTCACCTGCTCCCATCCAGACCCAACCTCCCGAGTTCCACACTCGAGTCTGTTCTCCCCAAGGAACCCCAGGATTACCTCGCTGGCTTGTCCACCACCTCCAGACCTGACCTGTCCCACCCCCCTCCCGAACTCACTATGCTCTGCCTAACCGTAAGCCAGACCAGCTCTCACCTGTCCTCTCTCTGCATCAGCCAAACACTAATTTGTGTCTGCTTGCAGACCCTCCTGGATCAGCGGTCCATTTCCAGCATCACCTCCTTTGATGTTGCTCCCTCAGTTTAAAATAAGCATTTTGTTTTTATTTCACTTTGTGTTGCTGATTCTGTCTTTGGTCAATGTCCCCAAAACATGACACAATTTATCCCTCGTCTCTCGTCTTCCTCCGCTTATCCGGGTCCGGGTCGCGGGGGCAGCATCCCAACTAGGGAGCTCCAGGCCGTCCTCTCCCCGGCCTTGTCCACCAGCTCCTCCGGCAGGACCCCAAGGCGTTCCCGGACCAGATTGGAGATGTAACCTCTCCAACGTGTCGTGGGTCGACCCGGGGGTCTTCTGCCGGCAGGACATGCCCGAAACACCTCCCCGGGGAGGCGTCCAGGAGGCATCCTGACCAGATGCCCAAACCACCTCAACTGGCTCCTTTCGATCCGGAGGAGCAGCGGTTCTACTCCGAGTCCCTCCTGAATGTCCGAGCTCCTCACCCTATCTCTAAGGCTGAGCCCGGCCACCCTACGGAGGAAACTCATTTCGGCCGCTTGTATCCGCGATCTCGTTCTTTCGGTCATTACCCAAAGCTCATGACCATAGGTGAGGATTGGGACGTAGATCGACCGGTAAATCGAGAGCCTGGCTTTCTGGCTCAGCTCCCTCTTCCCCACGACAGATCGGCTCAGCGTCCGCATCACTGCAGACGCCGAACCAATCCGCCTGTCGATCTCCCGATCCCTCCTACCCTCACTCGTGAACAAGACCCCGAGATACTTAAACTCCTCCACTTGAGGTAGGACCTCTCCCCCGACCCGGAGGTGGCAAGCCACCCTTTTCCGGTCGAGAACCATGGTCTCAGATTTGGAGGTGCTGATCCTCATCCCAGCCGCTTCACATTCGGCCGTGAACCTACCCAGCAAGAGCTGAAGGTCAGAGCTGGATGAAGCTAGGAGGACCACATCATCCGCAAAAAGCAGAGACGAGATTCTCCTGCCACCAAACTCGACACACTCCACACCACGGCTGCGTCTAGAAATTCTGTCCATAAAAGTGATGAACAGAACCGGTGACAAAGGGCAGCCCTGTCGGAGTCCAACCCTCACTGGGAACAGGTCCGACTTACTACCGGCTATGCGGACCAAACTCATGCTCCTCTGGTAAAGGGACTGAATGGCCCTTAACAGAAAGCCACCCACCCCATACTCCTGGAGCGTCCCCCACAGGGTGCCCCTGGGGACACGGTCATAAGCCTTCTCCAAATCCACAAAGCACATGTGGATTGGTTGGGCAAACTCCCATGCCCCCTCCATCACCCTTGCAAGGGTATAGAGCTGGTCCACAGTTCCACGGCCAGGACGAAAACCACATTGCTCCTCCTCTATCTGAGATTCAACTATCGATCGGACCCTCCTCTCCAGTACCTTGGAGTAGACCTTTCCAGGGAGGCTGAGGAGTGTGATCCCCCTATAGTTGGAACACACCCTCAGGTCACCCTTCTTAAAGATGGGGACCACCACCCCGGTCTGCCACTCCCTAGGAACTGCCCCCGATGACCACGCAATGTTGTAGAGACGTGTCAACCATGACAGCCCTACAACATCCATAGCCTTGAGATACCCAGGACGAACCTCATCCGCCCCCGGGTCTCCGCCGCTGTGTAGTTGTTTGACTACCTCAGCAACTTCTGCCCCCGAGATTGGACAGTCCATCCCCAGGCCTCCCAGCTCTGGTTCCTCCTCGGAATGCGCATTGGTGGGATTGAGGAGCTCCTCAAAGTATTCCTTCCACCGTCCGACTATAGCCTCAGTTGACGTCAGCAGCTCCCCATCCCCACTGTAAACAGTGTGAGCGAGTTGCTGCCTTCCTCTCCTGAGGCGCCGGACAGTTTGCCAGAACCTCTTTGGAGCCGATCGATAGTCTTTCTCCATGGCCTCACCAAACTCCTCCCACGCCCGAGATTTTGCCTCGGCAACTGCCACTGCTGCACCCCGCTTGGCTATCCGGTACCTGTCTGCTGCCTCCGGAGACCCACAGACCAGCCACGCCCTGTAGGCCTCCTTCTTCAGCCTGATGGCTCCCCGAACCTCTGGTGTCCACCAGCGGGTACGGGGGTTGCCACCACGACTGGCACCGGCCACCTTACGACCACAGCTAGCAACAGCCGCCTCGACAATCGCAGAGTGGAACAAGGCCCACTCGGACTCAATGTCCCCCACTGCTCTCGGGACGTGGTCAAAGCTCTGCCGGAGGTGGGAGTTGAAGACCGTCTTGACAGGTTCTTCTGCCAGGCGTTCCCAGCAGACCCTCACTATGCGTTTGGGTCTGCCAGGTCTACGCGGCATGTTCCCTTGCCATCTGATCCAACTCACCACCAGGTGGTGATCAGTTGACAGCTCTGCCCCTCTCTTCACTCGGGTGTCCAAAACATACGGCCGCAGGTCAGATGATACGACTACAAAATCTATCATCGACCTGTGACCTAGGCTGCCCTGGTACCAAGTGTACCGGTGGGCATCCTTATGTTCGAACATGGTGTTCGTTATGGCCAAACTGCGGCTTGCACAGAAGTCCAATAACAAAACACCGCTCGAGTTCAGATTAGGTGGGCCGTTCCTCCCAATCACACCCCTCCAGGTCAAGCTGTCATTGCCCACGTGAGCATTGAAGTCCCCCAGCAGGACAATGGAGTCCCCTGATGGAGCACTATCTAGCACTCGTCCCAGGGACTCCAAAAAGGGTGGGTACTCTGAACTGATATTTGGCCCATAAGCACAAACAACAGTCAGGACCCGTTCCCCGACCCGAAGGCGCAAGGAAGCTACCCTCTTGTCCCCCGGGGTAAACCCCAACACACAGGCAGAGAGTCTCGGGGCTAACAAAAAGCCAACCCCAGCCCTCCGCCTCTCACCCGGAGCAACTCCAGCAAAGTAGAGTGTCCAACCCCTCTCCAGGTCTCGGGTTCCAGAGCCAATGCAATGTGTCGAGGTGAGTCCGACTATATCTAGCCGGTACCGCTCAACCTCTGCCACAAGCTCCGGCTCCTTCCCCGCCAGCGAGGTGACGTTCCATGTCCCAAAGACTAGTTTTCTTGTCTGGGGATTGGACCGCCAAGGCTCCCGCCTTGGTCTGCCACCCGATTCGCATTGCACCGGACCCTTCATGTTCCTCCTGCGGGTGGTGGGTCCACAGTTGGACGAGCCAATGTATCCGGTTCGGGCTGGGCCCGGCCGGGCCCCATGGGCGAAAGCCCGGCCACCAGGCGCTCGCTCACGGGCCCCAACCCCAGGCCTGGCTCCAATTTATCCATTTTATTTTTCTATTTTCATTCTCCATTTTTGCAAATCCATTAGAACCTTTCATTACTTTTGATATAAAAAAGGAACTTTGTGTAGCTTTCGCTCTGACACACTCAAATGTGAAGCCAGTTTTGCTAAGATTATATTCAACACTTCCTCTTTCTCCTCACATGCAGAAAACACTTTGTGCTCTGAGGTTTTAGTAAAGAATGCTGTTGAGTTGGAGCAAGTCGACAAATTCAATTATCTTGATCCCCATGAGAAGCAGGAATCCGATGAGGATGTTTACCAGCTGGGAGTACTTAAATGTTAAGATGAGCTCTGATATCCAGCCTTCTATGAGAGAACCACACCTCCGATTCTTTTCGGGGGTTGGAGACTTTTCCCCTTGAAGACCATTGTCTCTTTTATAAGAATGAACCATTAGGTGGTTTTGGAGTCTGCTGACGACAGAACATTGACGAGTCTCCTCATGTGCAGGTTAGTGGAGGAAGTTTCTGGTTTTTGTGTGTTCCTGGTTACTGTGGTTCGACTTCTCAGCAGTTATGTTTGCACTTTTTGGAAATCCATTTCTAGTGAGAAAGTAAAAGTCTTTTCAAGCGTGGAGCCGGTTGATTTGTTACTCGAGCAATTTTGTCTGCAAGACTTAGCACATTAAGAAAAATCTTTCACCACATCCTGTTCAGTATTTGTCATGATGTTGTAAGAATGCTTTTTTAGGGTACGGTAAAAAACTTCTAGAAACTTGCTCAAAGTTTGCAGAACCCAGAAACAGGCTGAAACGAGAGGTTGGAACGACACAAATGTCTTCTGATTTTCCAAACAAAATGATTCCCATGCAGGATCTCTGCTTAAAGTTCATGCATCTGATGGTTTTTGGTTATTTTTCTAAACTATCTAAATCAAAGTAATTAACACATGAAAGGAAAATAATTATGTCTTTAAGTGCATTTTAGATCTTCTATAGTTTAAACCAGTGGAGTCCATTCCTGGTCCTCCAGGCCTGCTTTCCTACATGTTTTATGTGTTTCCCTGCTCCAACACACCTGATTCAGTGGCTGGATCACCAAAAAATTATGCAGATACAAAAGGTTAAGATCAGAAAAATAAATTAGTTTATTACTGGGAAAACTTCCACAAATCAGCTGAATAAATATATCATTCAAAATAAATAAACTTCAGTTTAGAAAGACAAAGAAGGGAAACAGAGTATACTTTTTTACATCAACAATGTTTAATGTATGAAATGCATGTGTTTGCTATTGTTCCAAATAGGTCTAGACGTCTGGCCAATATAGACGCATACCCATGAGCAACTGGGTTCCCGATAAAAAGCTTTAACGAGCTTACCTGGAGTGACCCTTTTGCATCCAGACACTTGTAACTGGTTTATTGTCAATAAAGTAAGCTAAAGTAAAATTAGTCTCAAAATCTGTCATCCATTAGATATGTCTTTCACTTTGGGGGGCCGCATGATGACAGCATGACACGTCTGCTAGGACTGCAAAAAACGCACACATGTACATGACACACAGATGTGGGACAGAGCATGGGTATGCAACCTTTGGCTCAGGAGCAACATGTGACTTCACCCAGACCTTCCCACGTGTCTCTCTTGACTAAGAATGTTGTAAACATGAGTAACTTGTATAATTAAATAGATTTTTGTAGTAGGTGCATGGGTCATCTGCAGCAGAACCACATCAATAAGAAAGACATGTTTTCAGTACCAAAGATGCCTAAAACCAGCTGAAACAATCAGAATTGGGTTTAAAATGGAGTGGTCTGTTTTACAGTTCAGTTGTAAGCTCTTTCATGACTGTGTTTAAGCACATTTTTCACACACTCAGCATTTTCACTTTCAATCTACCAGGAAATGCATATTTTCACAACTCTGAGACAAATTGGTGCAACAGCTAATGAATTCATGGAAAACAACAGTTCTCATTATTAAAGCTTTACTAGCACTTATGTGTTTCTTGTTTGTTGCACTCATAAATAACTGATAACTGTATTCTGTGTGTGTGTTTCCTCTCAGTGCATTGCGGTGAAATTAGCAGGCGTTAGAGAAGATCTTGCTGCACTGGAGTGCGTTTTATGTACAACCCAAATACTCAGTTAAACTATTTTCCATCAAAACATTATACTTCAGTGTTGATATCAAGTTAATGCTGCCAGCGAGAGAAGCAACTCCTTTACAATTGAGAATCTGCTGCTCAAACCTCAGTGCGTTTGATTTTGTTTGGTTGCTGTACAGTAGAAGTAGGTGAAAGGAGGCAGAGCTGCAAAAACAAATCCTGGACAGCAAAGCATGTCAAGGTGGTTCATTGACTTCCTGCAGTTCTGCACAGATCCCTGCATGTAACAAAGTTAAGAGATGCATTGGTGCCAGAATCTACACCATAGCTGTGGTTGGCCTCTGCACACCATACTGTCTCTATTTTCACACTACTTTTAGGGTGTTATTTTTCCGTTAAAACCGCCACTAAAGGTTTAATGTTAAATCTTGGTTTTGCTCAGGTGATTTATGTCTCACATCCTGTGTGAGTACCTTATCGGTCCTGGTAGAGCAAAGGCTTCTTCTCCTCCTTTTACACAAAGTGAAACCTTGCAGCTTGCTCCTCCTGTTTCAATTGCACCAGGCTGTATGGTGGCACAGGTGGTTACACCGTTGCTTTGCAGCAAGGTCAGAGGTGCATGGTTCTCCACATGTATTTGTGGGGTTCTCCTGTTTCCTTTTGCAGACCAAAGCACATATGTACGGTTATTTGCTTGTGAATTGAAGATCATAACCTACTAAAAAGGCAAATGGCTTTCATTCATGTAGTGCCTTCAAGAGACACTCCCAAGGCACCAGTTATTCACCCATTCACACACACATACGCACGCTGGTGGTGATGAGTTACATTGTTGCCAAAGCTGCACACTGACAGAGGCGAGACACCACCAGCCCCTTCGACCACCACCAGACAAGGAGGGTGAAGTGTCTTGCCCAAGGACCCAACTGACAGACGGAGTGAAGCCCAAACCTGCAACCCTCCAGTTAGAGGGTAGTCATTTAAAGTTTGAATATGGAACACGGACACTCTGGTGAACTCTGGTGTTCACATGTGGTATTGCAACAAACATTGACTAATTTTCCAGCTGTTGGGATGTTGGTTTACTGTTCTGATGCGTTCCAGCGCCAAGTTCAGAGACAAACTGTGCAGGATAAGGACTAATTTCTACTAATTAGTATATTTTACAACAGTATTTACCATTGGAACATCTTCTGGGCTCAGAATTAGCTGCTTGACTTGTCAAGTCCGTCATTTTACACAGTCCCAACCTCGGCTTGCTGAGCGGACGTTTTAGTGCAACGATGCCATTTAGTGGCTGGTATATGTAAACATAAACTCAGTGTTGTACCCGACAAAATAAAATATTGATTATTTATTTATTTATTTTTAAATAGAGATTTTAAAGAATAAACTGTACATTCATTCTGCACAGCTCTAAATGCCCTGTGGTGGTTTAGAGGTGTGATATAGATTTTTATTAAAATGTTCCATATTCTAACTTTAACTACTCTGTCTCGTCCCTATACCACTTCTAAGTTAAACATTTTTACGCCCCTCCTTTTAAAATCCTCCTCTTGCATTTTTTGATTTGGGTCAATAAAGGCTTTAGTTTAATGTAAATTAATATTAGTGATGAAATTTTAATTGGTATCATTTAAAGGTAATGATAATGCAATGTTGCCCCTTCGCTGTGATCTTCTTTAATTGACAGAGAAATCTACAACAGTATTTCTTGCTTCCACCTTGATCTACAGTGGCTGTGACCAGCTGAAACCTCCTAGCAGATTTACAGCAGCATGATGCCTCTCTATTCCTCAAATTACTTTCAAAAAATACTTCTCCAGAAGATCACAGTTCTTGAAACAAAAAGTTCTAGAGGTCAACTTGGAAGTAAATGGATTGTTTGGAAACAATGACACCCTCTCATCTACTCAGACTGCTGGACAAGCAGATGGTGGCACACAGCCAATAAACAGCAACAACGTTCCAACAAAGAGATCAGAGGGCTCTCTGCCTCTCGATAAATCTGTGAGCAGTCCTCCTTGGAATACTCTTGGTGCCAAGCTAAATCAGATCCTTGGGGAGCAAGAGGACAACCTGCTTCAACCACAGCCTCACATCAAGAGATCATCGAAGCCAATGACTGGCCAGTGCTACCTTCTCAACATCATAACAGCTCACAACAGCAAGGAGCTGGCAAAATGAGGATTAAGATGAAAACCAGAGGAATGTCTCATCAATCAAGCAATCAGCTCCACAACAGATCCATGCCACTGCTGAATAACCCAGAACCGGATGAACTGGAAAGCCAGCCCTCTTCCCACCAAAACAGGGTCAGGAATGAGCATAACAAAAACAATGAAAGCTTTGATGCTGAGCTTCTGATAGTGGGTGATTTTCATGTGAAGAATGTGAATTTAAATGGCAGAAACACCAGAACACAATGCTTTACCAAGGAGACAGTTGCTGATATGAGAGACGGACTGCCAACAATCCTTGCTCAACACCCAGCGGCTAATAAACTCATCATTCATGTTGGTGCAAATGACATCGGGAAAAGACAGTCAGAGTGATTTCATGTTTTTATCTGAAACTTGGCTAAATGATAGTATCTGTGCACCAGTTCTCATAGAATCAATATGTGAACTTTTGTTGTTGAGCAAATACTTATTTTCTGCTCTGTTATAAAAAATAAAGTCTTTAAACATCATACTATGTGATTTCCTAGATTTTTTGATGAAAATTACAGGCTTTTCTCATCGTTTTAAGTGGGGCAACTTACACAATTGGTGGCTGCCAAATATTTGGAATGTCGGTTTTTTTTTTTTCAAGACTGACCATGTTTTGGGCAAGATGTTTCCACAGTGAAGTTGTTGGTGGTTGTAGTCAAGCACTTGAAGCAACATAATAAATTGCTTTAATGATTAAAGCAATACAACTACATATTGTTTACATGTTGTTTTTGCGTTTGCGCCATTTATAGTAATTTTTCAGAGATAAAATAACCTGCAGACCCATTCAAAGTGCTGTGATTCTTTCTGAGCAGTCTGGTAACAAACGATTCACACCAATCCATTGTGTGATGACACCTCATTGTCTGTTTCACTGTATAAAAAATATGAGTATTTGCTGATCATCTTCTTCTTTTCTTCCTTCTTTTGTAACAGTACCTCTCATCAATTAAAAGGATGTTGCTCAGTTCCATGAAGAGGTGCTTTCTCTTCTGCATTCTGTGTGCATTGTTGATTCTTCTCCTCGTCGGATGGCCAAGAGCAATCCTGTATACCACCTGTAATCCCAGTGATAGAAATCTGACCATCCTACTCTGGCACTGGCCCTTCAGACATTCATTCAGTCTGAAGGGTGATGTTTGCTGGGATCTCTACCAAATACCTTATTGTAAGCTGGTGGACCAGCGCTCCTTCTACCCCACCGCTGATGTTGTAGTGTTCCATAACAGAGAACTGATTGATGGAAGTCAGAGGCTCCCCACTCATCTTCCACGTCCACAGGGCCAGAGGTGGGCCTGGATGTCCCTGGAGTCCCCTAATAACAACGGAAACCTGCGGCGGTTTGGTAATCTCTTCAACATGACCATATCCTACAGGAGAGATGCTGATATCACTGTACCGTATGGTGAGCTGCTACCTGTGGAGACTGAGGAACACCTGGTGGAGGACAGGCGTGTGAATAAAAGCTCTTTGGTCTGCTGGGTGGTCAGTAAATACAGGAGCCACTACAAAAGAAGCCGAGTGTACAAAGAGCTGAGTGCTACAGTTCCCATCAAGGTTTATGGCCGCTGGACTAATACACCTCTCTCCTCTGCAGACCTCTTACCTACCATCTCACGCTGCTACTTTTATTTAGCTTTTGAGAATTCTGTGAGCAAAGACTACATCACAGAAAAGCTGTGGTACAACGCTTACCAAGCAGGAGCTGTGCCTGTTGTGCTGGGACCATCCATAAATCACTACAAAGCCGTGGCTCCGGAACATTCTTTTATTCACGTTGACAAGTTTGCTTCAATAAAAGATCTGGGAACGTACCTGCAACAGCTTGCAGGTGACAAGAAGAGGTACAACGAATACTTTAACTGGAAAAAGCACTGGAAGGTGAAGGTTTACTCAGACTGGAGGGAAAGAATTTGTAAGACGTGTTTACATTACAGCAGATTACCTCAGCAGCATGTTTATTCAGATCTTCATGCTTGGGTAAATACAAATAATGGTCAGCCTTAAGAAAATGTTATGAAGTTTGTGGTTATTTTAAATCAAATTTGCACTAATCTAATAAAGTAATAAGAAAAATGTATAACAAGTGATGAAAGGTCTTTTTTTTCCAGTGAAATCTGAGAGTAAAACTACAGTGCTGTAAAAAATATTTGCCCCTTGCAGATTTCCTCAGTTTTGTTTCAGATCAGTAAACAAATTCCAAATTCAGATAAAGTAAAATTTATTTTAATATTTGAGAAATCCAAGAAAGCCAATATGAGAAGATAATTGACCTCTTTGTAGAACTAACTGTGATTACCCAAATAATTTAGATGATTAAGTTTCACTAGCCACACCCAGGCCTAATTACAGCAAGACCTGCAGCATTATAGAGGATATATTATACTAAACATACCTGTTCCCACCTGGGTCTTTACTACCTCTATAAACACTTCAAATGTGGAAGAAAAAATAAATTTCCATTTGTCCCCATTTGTGATATCACAAACAGGGGAATTTGTATTTGAACCACCTTGCATGTGCAAGAGGGAGCTGATGCTGGAGGAGCAGCAGCTCTACTTTAAGCCCCTCCCAAATATCAGAGCTTCTAAATTTATAGCCTGAGTGGGGGTGTAATGTTAAATATGAGTGAGGATTCAAAAGCAGGTGAGTGCGGACCAGGAGGCAGCCATAGATGGTTATAGTCTTTTTATTCGAGGTGATGAGTAACCGGAGACAACAGGAACAGGGATGAACAAAAGGCAACATAGACGAATAGACAAACACAGAAACAACTTCAATACATGTGGACACAGGTGTAAAGGGTAATTTACATGTAATTTAATGAACCATGAGACATGAGATTCCATAGAAAATATGAAATCAATCTGATGGACCTTTGGGTATTTTTAACCAGAAGATTGGAACTTTTTATTGCAGGGATTATGTAACACTTCATATTGACTGAGAGACAACTGAAGTTGAGTCAAGTTTTAAAAGTTTATAGATTTATTACTAAACAAATTAAAACTAGGCTAACTTTAAACACTAAATGTATGGTGTAACTAAGGTGAAGTGAGACGAAGAATGATGTAGTGTGGAATGTTGTTGGGAACCAGCAAATCCGGAGAAACGATTAGTTCTGATGGGAGTGAAGGTGATGTCTTCGCGCTAAGCTTTGATTTGGAGATTCATAAACACAGAAGACACCATTTTTGTCGCTCCACACATACCCTTAGAATGAGACCTCCGTACAGATCCAGACTGCCAGGTCCTCGAACCCCTCTTTCGGTACCGGAGCCGATGAAACAGCGTCAGCAGTACAACAGACTAGTCTTTGGATTGTCTCCAGGTAAAAGCGACAGTTGGTTGACAGCGTCAGATGGACCCGAAGGGTCAGTGAGTTCAGCTTTTATTCTGAAAGGAACCGTTGCTTGGTTGGTAAAATGCAACAGATTTTATCCAGCTTGTCGCTGGTTCTTTCAGCTGAAGAGGAAAGTTATGGATTGGCCACTCCGACAACTTCTCTAGAACGCTTTGAACTGCGTTAAAGATAGTGGTGTGCATCTCTACCTGCCTCACGATCCGATTCCGATTATCTGCCTAACGATTCGATTTGAGTCTTCAATGCATCACGATTCTTCACGCAAAAATTTTCATTACTTAATAAAAGCAGTAGAATAGTTTTCAATTTCTTTTTAATTTCGAAATCCCTGAAAAACAGAACATTCATCTATTCACTATAGTGAGCAATAATTTTTAAAGTGTGCTGCCTATAATTACTTAAATAATATAAGAAATAATGTTTTTGGTAAAGCTTTAAGATAGAATATTACTGAACTTAAAAATAGTAAAGGAATGTGTTAAGTGGACACTGAGCTGGACACTGAGCTCAGCGCAGCTCGCTGTCAGCGCATACGTACGGCGCACAGCGAGCTGAAGATGTGGAGAGGGGCTTGGAGCACGTCGCAGAACCAGAGCGCATGCAGGAAGATTCCTCCGACTGAAGCGAGACTTCTCACTTAGAAAATGTTCCCTGATTATGAAACTTTGGCTGAATAGTGCTTGTTCCTGTCTCCAATGTGGCCACACATCCAGGAGCTGAGGAGAATCCCAGGATCTCACATCCTCGTTAGCTCAGAATGCGCCTATGATTACGCACAAGCGTGACGCGCCAACCCGGTCTCACAGTAAGACCGGGTTGGACCTGTTCAGGTTTACGCAGACAATCTTTACATTTAGAATTGGCATACAGGTGTAAAATTAATTCAGTAAAATATAAAGCATTTTATTTAAATATCCATTCATTATTTTACAAGCACAGAGAGCCGCATCAGATGGATGGAAGAGCCGCATGCGGCTCCAGAGCCGCGGTTACCGACCCCCGACATAGACATAGGGAGAGAATCTCATTATGTCACGTTGCTGCATCGATGCGGAATCATGCACGGCTGAATCGCGATGCATCTTAGAATCGATCTTTTTTCCCACCTCTAGTTAAAGATGACGTGGGCATAGTTTTATACTTCGGATGTTTTGGTTTATGGTCGAATGAAAAGATGACAGATTTACCAAGCACCACCAAAACCACGCCTCCGTCAGATCTGGCAGACTCTGATTGGATCAGTAAAAGCAATGTGTCATGTCTTAACGCTGCATGTGATCAGTCTCTAGTGGAAACATTTAAAGTTATATTACTTGTTATATTCTGTAGGATTATAATATCAAGTAATTAATATTTTCATTTCACAAATTGGTTCACATTTTATTGTTGACTAACACTTTGTTTGATTAGCTTGTTAAAAATAGAGTTCTTTGATTTATTAAAAAGAACAAGTCCTTTGTCTTCATTCTTCTCTTGGGCTGGAAAGGAAAACAGTTTAGAAGCAAATGCATGAGACCTTGAGGCAATATCTCATGCAGATTAGTTCTTGCTGAGGAGAGGGGGAAATGACTTTTAGGTGGAAAACAGTCATTTCATTCCGTTACACAGGTGATCAGGAAAACAAGAGGTAGGTGGGACCAATTAACGCTAACAAGAGACTAAACAAGAGCTGGGTAGACGGAACGAGCCACACAGCTATTTAGTGTACCCAATCTTGCATACTACATTGAACAAAAATATAAACGCAAAACTTTTGTTTGTGCTCCCATTTTTCATGAGCTGAACTCCAATATCTGAAACTTTTTCTACATGTACAGAAGATCCATAACTCTCAAATATTGTTCTGAAATCTGTCTACATGTGTGTTAGTGAGCACTTTTCCTTTAATAAGATAATCCATCCCATCTCACAGGTGTGGCCTATCAAGGGGCTGATTAGACAGCAGGGATATTGTACAGGAGCCTCTCACATGCCTCCATCTAAAAGGCTAGGTTATCCAGAGTTATCTCTGTAGTTATGCTGCTATAGGCTTAGGCTGCTGGAGGACATACTGACCACTTTCAACACTGTACTACACATGTGTTAGATCCAAGGCCCGCGAGCCAGATGTGGCCCGCCACATCATTTTATGTGGCCTGCGAGAGCTTCAAGTATCTTAAAATAGGTCTGTGCTGCTTCAAAGCACACATTGACTATAAACTACATTTCCCATAAAACATGGCGATTCTGTTCCCAGTGCAGTAGCTCGCCACTAGGTCGCAGTGTATCCACTTACATGTTTAATTAATGCAACAAGTGAAAATAACTGTCCACACATCATCCCAAAATGTCCAGGAAGAGAAAGATTGATGCAGAAGGAAGGTGTTTCAACAAAGATGGAACATGTTGATGCTTCAAGGAGAAAAACCGGTATGTTTTTAAAGTCCTTAGCGTCCATGCTACTAGCATCAGTGTCTGCAGCATTACCCCCTCTGCCTCAGACAAACTGAAAACACTCCTCTTACTCTGCGTCACGTTTACTTAGAAATTAGCCGACTTTGAAGCCCAGAAATGGATTTTAACAGCTCAGTAATCTGTTTGCTGCTGACATAGAAAGCGCACCGACCAACTTCCTGTCATGTGAATAGATACAGTGTGTATGTCTTTAAGACTTGCCTGAAGGGGGAGGAGTTTGGAGAGAGTTTGGCGGGCTGGAAAATAAACACAACACCTCTCGAGCTGAAGGACATTGAGTCATTTATTACATTGGTCGTACTTAGAACATGGTGTCAGAAGTTAAGTGATGAATATGGCCAAGTTTAACCCTCCCGACAACTTTGACTTCACCCGCCCAGAACAGTGGCCGGAGTGGAGGCAGCGGTTCCAGCGTTACTGGCTAGCAACTAAGCTAAACCTCGAGGATGGCGCTGTGCAGGTTAGCACACTACTCTACGCGCTTGGCAAGGAAGCGGAACAAGTGTTTAACACTCTGCGGTTCATTGAGGAGGAGGACTATGACACGGTATTGGAAAAGCTAAATAATTACTTCATTCAAAAAGTTAACGTCATCCACGAACGAGCACGGTTTTACCTCCGCTCGCAAAAGAAGGGCGAGTCCGTGGAGTAATACATACGTACACTCTATGAACTGGCCGAGACCTGTCAGTTTGGTCCGGCGAAGATTGAAAACATTTGCGACAAGTTAGTGGTTGGGATCCTGGATAAAGACATGTCAGAGAAACTACAGTTAAAAGCCGACCTCACATTGGAGAAAGCCGTGGAGATGGTGAGACAGTCTGAGCAGTGTAGTGATTTGAAGATGTATATTTATACACTGTAATTAGATAATTTAATTATCTGATTTTGTATATTTATACACTTTAATTAGGTTATCAGAAGTGGTTGTTTTTATCATCAGGGAGTTTACTTAAACACTCTGTATTGACTGAGACACAAGAAAAGAGAGAGAGTTGGGATCGTTTAAGAATCTTTAATTTCTATAATTATAAATTCTTACAATCTACCAGGACTATCTCAATGATGAATGTATATGGATTTAGATGTTTCGTGTTGGTGTGTGTGTGTTTGTTCAGAATCTCTAGGCTGACGTAGCGAATCTGGTTTGTTATGACTAGGCTACCACGAGGCTTCAGAAGCTGATGACATGAGCCGCCATTTTGTGCCGTGACCACGTACCGTATGGAGTCTCCCGTGTAGATCAGGAATTGCCAGGTCCTCGAACCTTCAGAGGTACTGGAGCTGGTTGAAACAGCGGTCACAGTACACAACGCCCGTCTGAGGATAACTCTGGTAGTAGTCGGCAGGCGTCAGCAAGTTCACTCTTATTTTGAAGGAACGTTGTCTCGTTGGTACAAACGACGGAAATCTCCAGCTTGACAGTTCTCAGCTTAAAACAGGAAGTACAGATGGCCAGCCTGTACTCCTCTTTGCGGTGATGGATTGAGAGCTGGTTGAAAACAATGTTGAGAGTATGATGTAACTCCTTTGGAGCTCAGATCGAACAGAGCTGATGTCAACGTGGAACTTAACGTGGAACTGAATATAAAATGGCGTTGCCTTCTTTTATATCTCCCAGTTGTTTACCAATCTTAGTGAACCGGATTGGACTACTTTCATAAACAAACCAGATTCTCTCTACGACAGACGAAAGTTCTGATTGGTTGAGAGTAATGTGTCATGCGTTTCCATGGTAATGTATAGCAGTCCGTCTGGTGCAGTCCTGTTTATTCATTTAAACACATAACTCATGACATCTTTATTTCACAGATCATTCACCTGATTATTAATGATCAACATATGCTTTGATTAGCTTATCACAAATAAAGTACTTTGATTAATCGATGAAAAGCGTTCTTCTTCTCTTCTTCTGGAATGTAAACATACTGAACCAAGCGTCCAACCTTGGTGATGTTACTGTGTGAAGGGGCAGCTGTTAATGGCAGACCATTATAAGCTTCATAACGCTACACATCCCCCCTTTTCAAGGTCAATGTGGTCCTGCAAGAGACCACTTGGTCGTTGAACAAACCCAAGTTATGAAGAATCTTGACAACCGACAGGACGCGATCCCACTGGAACAGCCAACGGTGGTGAGGTACGAACCCCACGCCGAAGAACAGTCTCGCACACTCCTCAGGAAGAACACAAGTCAGCAGGTTATTAACTATTCCCCACGGAAGCCACAATTGAACCAACAGCAGCTTTATATCCTCACGGGCAAAAATGCAAAGCAGGAGCAGATCTTGTGTATATCCACGAGCAGGTAATTATTCCAAATAGCAAATTGATCTTTGTATCCACCGGCAGGGTAATATTCCAAATAAAATTGAAGTTTGTATCCACTGGCAGGGTAATATTCCAAATAAAAATTGAACTTTGCAACAGTACTTATCGTAATCCACAAAAAGGGAAGAGTAGTAGACAGTAATCCCAATGAATGCGGTGTCCCAGCAGCCATGCCGGAACCATGGTCGTCCAAGGCCAACGAGCCGGAGCACCACCCAGGAGTAGTCGATGCAGATGACGAGACACGGATCCACCCCCAGGAAGCAGGATCCTCACGAGCTCAGCAGAGGAGAGAGAGCACAGTGCAGGCACTTCAATGTAGACACGACAAAATTGCATTTCATGTCATCAAAGAAATAAAAACCTAACTCTATGAGTACCTGTTGTACTATGTGTAAGTTTTATGTGAATTACCCATTAAGTGAAGAAATGGATGCAACCTTCTCTGTGTGAGACGCAAAAAGGATGATGCGAAAAGCAGAAAATGAAAGAACCCTAACTGGTATCAGTGAATTACACGCTGTCAGGATAGGGGCAAAATTGGTTATGGCCCGTAAGATAAATCAACTTGATAATCATAACAATCACTTTTAAATCAACTTCAAAGATACTATAAAAAAACAGAAATGTAAATCAGTACTAAAATGTAAATCAGTAGTTAGTAATCCCTTCATGTGAATGTACCCATAAGGAATTGTGATTAGTAAAGAGAAAAAAAATAAAATTTTTGGACAACAGTACTATGTGGCCTAACCCACTTACTGTTACCTGGCCGTTTACCTGACTCCAGGAGCCCACAGCACGTCCATCTCAACACACCCTAAGTCTGCACGTGACGTATAACATGAAAGACAACCATGCACACTCACAAACAAACAAATTTGTGTAACCTGAGATAGAAATCTGTGGAACCAACGGGACGTATTTTTCACCCCCCTTTTGAAGTCGGTAGATTGTTGTTGTCATCGGCCAAATCTGCGGAACCCTTGTGCAGTTTGATATGGTCCCTGTGTACCCATTTGTAGACGGGCGCCCTGTTTTTGCTGGTGATCTTGATCTGATACACGACCGGAGAGATCTTATCTGTTATCAGGTATGGACCCGACCATTTGGGCAAAAGTTTCTTAGCCAGCGTCCCCTTAGTGCCACCCATTTTGGGAGCGAAAATGTAGTACCAGGCCTCATCACCCACCTCGAGTTCGGAATGTGAGGCTTTCTTATCGTAATAAGTTTTTCTGCCTTCAGCCGACTTCTCCAGAGATGCCTGTGCAAACGAGAATGCTGCAAGCAGGTGAGTTCCCAGGTCCTGGTTGTAGTAGTGGTGGTTTAGAAGAGTCTGAGGGGGACTGGCTGGCGGGAGTGACGGGATGGCGTCGTCCGAGCAGTGTTGGCACGCAGCCAAACCCATGCCAAGAGGGCTACGTCGGTTCTGGGCGTAGCGCACCTCGATGTCAAAGCTTTGAAGAGCCAGCAGCCATGACGCAATCCGCGAATTGGTCACCACACCATCTCTGATGCGCTGACTGATAAGGAAGGTCGCCGGCTGGTGCTGTGTCTCAATGACGATTTTCTGGCCGCCAATGTAGTTCGCAAAGTACTTAACTGCCCACATGGTGGAAAGCAAAGCTTTTTCACAGTCTGAGTACTTCAACTCAGGCCCAGACAAGAGCTTACTAGCATAGGCTACCACACGCCTGTCGCAGTCGTGAACTTGGTAGAGACCAGCACTCAAACAGTGAGCTGAGAAACCAACCTCAAGGTGGAACACCTTGTCACAGTCGGGGAGCGCCAAGCACGGAGCCGAGCACATCGCGGCCTTCAGGTCATCCACGGCCTGCTGGTGCTGCTCTGCCCACTCGAATGCCACATCCTTCTTCAACAGATTAGTCAGAGGTCGTGCTATGTCAGCGTAATGTTCCACGAACTGATGCGAGTAGTTGCAGACACCCAAGAAGCTTCGAAGTTCGGAGACGTTTGTCGGAGGGGTGATGGTGGCAATGCCCTGAATTCTGCCAAGTTGAGGCTGCACTCCCTGTGGTCCCATCAGGAGGCCAACGTACTGAACTTGCGACCTGCACCACTGTCCTTTGGCGAGAGAGATCTTTGCACCTGCTGCCGCGAGCTGACCCATGACATGGTCCAGTTCGGACAGGTGGTCATCTAATGTACGCTTACGAACAAGAATGTCGTCGACATAGATGAGGGTCCCTCGCTCTCGAGCATCGGGGCAGGCTTTGTTCAAGAAGATGTTGAACTCAGCAGGTGAGTTGGAATAACCAAAAGGACACCGGGTGAAGGTGTACTGCCAGTTGGCAAAGGAGAAAGCAAGTTTGTGTTGGTCCGATTCGTGGACGGGGATCGTCCAAAATCTGGACGCAATGTCAAGCGTGGAAGAGTACCTAGCATCTTTCACTCGTGGAAGCTCCTGCTCCAGGCGTGCCATAGGCCACCTCGACAAGGGAACCTGTTTATTGAGTTGCCGGTAGTCAATGGTTAGTCGCCACTTACCATTAGGCTTCAGTACCGGCCACAACGGAGCCGTGTAGGTGCTATTGCAGGGTCGAATGATCCCCTTAGCCAAGAGGCTGTCAATGATTTCCTGGACTGGTCCCTGGGACGCCAGGGGAATCTTGTATTGCCGCACAAAGGTCGGCGGTGCATCTGGCCTTGTAGGAATCCGGACCTCATGGATAGTGGTCAGACCACAGTCCAAGGAGTCAAGTGAAAGAAAATCCGAGTACTTTAGCAAAAGTTGTCGTAGTTTGTCTTGCTCGACCTCGTTGGTGAGAGCATCAGCCTGGTCTATGACATTCTCAATCTGGGACAGAACTTCAGGTGGCTTTCCTGGCGGCTTTGAGCGTGGTGGTGAGCCCGTAATCGCGGCCTCACCCGAAAGGCTTGCCACAGAGTAGTGGAAGTCCTTGTCAGGCGGCGGCTTGTACGGCTTAGGCTTTTTCACACGCGCAAACAGCTCCCCGGACTTGTAGCTGATTTTAGCGTACAGGCGCCGGAGACAGTCCAACCCAATGAGCATGGGAAAGGGCATGTTCTCATCGATGTACACAGGGTGTTTTAAGGACATTGCCCCTATCGAGATGTTCACCTCAGTCTTCAAAGACGCGGTTCCTGGAGCGCCACCGAAATCAGTGAAAATCATCGGGCCTGTAATGAGTGGGGGGGGGGGGTGGGGGAGGGGGGGTGAGAGGCCCTCCCCCCTTTTGTCACACATGCTGTTGTAAAAATCTCCGCTCATGAGCGTAATGTCCGCACCTATGTCCAGTAACGCGACACAGCGATGTCCCTGATTTACAGTGACCTCAACTGCGGGCCTATCAGACCCCGTCCTCACGACCAGAGGTGCTAGCAAAACTTTGTCAGTCACGGCGATAGTGGTACCGGGCTCGTCGTTCATGGGTGTATCGCCTAACATCGCCACGGACGGAACGACCGGTGAGGTGTTGTTGCTTTCCTTCGAGGTGTTGTTGTTTTCCAGCGAGGCAGAACCTGTGAAAACATCAGCCTGCAGCATCTTCGTCTCATCCGGCGGCGTCTCGGCCAAACACGGGGTTGCTGCCCGTGTCACCTGAAAATCACGCATAAACTGTTTGACGTCCTCGCCGTCTTTCTGAAGAGCGCAGATCATGTTCATCATGTTCCTCATCTCAGTCATCATCGGTAGGAAAGCGCTTTGCATCGCCGCCTGAAGTTGTGATGGAAATTGCATTGTTTCTTCTGAGCCCATATTCCAAATCAGTAATGTGTTCTTTAATTTACTAATTTCTCCAGAAACAACCTTACCCGTAGACTTTTTTAAAAATTTAGTTACAGGGAAGCTTGGCTTTTGAATGAATATTTTGAGCAAAATCGTTTAGTAATGCCAAAAATAACATTCTCTTTTGACCTACCCAAGATGGCGGGTCGAGCTGCGTGTCGCGTTACCTAAGATGGTGGATCGCCGCGCATGCGCCGTCCGTCACTCGGCGTTTGTCCCCGTAGCAAGTCGCGGTGTCACACACCGGAGCGGTTGACTAGAATCACCGCTAACCGAACCGACTGTACTTTGTATTGGAAGGTTCAGCGGAATTTAGTACTTTGTACTGGAAGGTTCAGGGGAATTTAGGACGCAGAATCGCTGCGTCGGAGCGGTTTTGACAGCTTATCGGGACGCGTACCCGGGCCAAACCGAGGTTGCTAGTTAGCTCTTCGGCTAATGCTAGCTATTGTCTGGAGCTACCAGCAGAAAAAATTGCACGATTAACCAAACGTCTTCAGCGACGAGGTAATTAGGGACTTTAGATGTTTCGTGTTGGTGTGTGTGTGTGTGTGTGTTTTGTTCAGAATCTCTAGGCTGACGTAGCGAATCTGGTTTGTTATGACTAGGCTACCACGAGGCTTCAGAAGCTGATGACATGAGCCGCCATTTTGTGCCGTGACCACGTACCGTATGGAGTCTCCCATGTAGATCAGGAATTGCCAGGCCCTCGAACCTTCAGAGGTACTGGAGCTGGTTGAAACAGCGGTCACAGTACACAACGCCCGTCTGAGGATAACTCCGGTAGTAGTCGGCAGGCGTCAGCAAGTTCACTCTTATTTTGAAGGAACGTTGTCTCGTTGGTACAAACGACGGAAATCTCCAGCTTGACAGTTCTCAGCTTAAAACAGGAAGTGCAGATGGCCAGCCTGTACTCCTCTTTGCGGTGATGGATTGAGAGCTGGTTGAAAACAATGTTGAGAGTATGATGTAACTCCTTTGGAGCTCGGATCGAACAGAGCTGATGTCAACGTGGAACTTAACGTGGAACTGAATATAAAATGGCGTTGCCTTCTTTTATATCTCCCAGTTGTTTACCAATCTTAGTGAACCGGATTGGACTACTTTCATAAACAAACCAGATTCTCTCTACACAGACGAAAGTTCTGATTGGTTGAGAGTAATGTGTCATGCGTTTCCATGGTAATGTATAGCAGTCTGTCTGGTGCAGTCCTGTTTATTCATTTAAACACATAACTCATGACATCTTTATTTCACAGATCATTCACCTGATTATTAATGATCAACATATGCTTTGATTAGCTGATCACAAATAAAGTACTTTGATTAATCGATGAAAAGCGTTCTTCTTCTCTTCTTCTGGAATGTAAACATACTGAACCAAGCGTCCGACCTTGGTGATGTTACTGTGTGAAGGGGCAGCTGGTAATGGCAGACCATTATAAGCTTCATGACGCTACAGCAGATAAAGGGGCAAGTTAGCCAGCAAGCTAAAGCCTGGTTTATGCTTCTCTGTCAGCTCCGCAAGGGACAGACACGCACGGATTGACGGAAGCGTTTTGCTCTCATACTTCTCTGTCTCCCGGAGAGTGTTGCAAAGCAATTGCCAGGCAGGACAACAGAGGGCGTAGCGCTGTTCTGTGGTATCCTGTCATGTATTGGTCCAAGATCGTGTGTTTATATTGTGTTTTTGTGTAAATAAGAGACTTTTAACACAGACATATCTG